ACAACACAATTTCAAATCCAGATCTGGAAAAAACTCAGAAATGCCAATAATTTACATTCAATATCAACAGCAATAAGTTTACTCCATTTGTGCAAACACAGAATAAAAGCCAAAATCATTAATAAAAACAGATAGTACCAACAGTGTGTTTAAATTGAATTATTGACAGACTTTACTATAAGCTGTAGTATATAGAAACACCATTAAAAGAGAAAAAAATGAAAAAATAATTTTTTAAAAAAAAGTTTATGACAACAATCAATACCCATTAAGAGCATCTCCTCATTCGTATACCAAACAAACCCCATCTCCAAAAAAAAAGGAAAATAAAAATAAAAATAAAAATTCAATATACCAAGAGAAATACATTTTTTTATGGATCCTGTGGAAGAGGAAGAGAAAATAGAGAACCTAGCTCCTGCAACGAGTAATAGCACTGCATCCACGAGTGTAGGGATTTGCTTGAGCTCCAGGTTTGCAGTTGTAGTAGGAAGCTCCACGGCGAGAACACGGCACACTGTTCTTCTGGAGTGCACCATAGCTGATGTAATTTTTGGTTGCTAAAATACGCCTGTTTGACTCACTGTCAAGGGCAAACTCATCCTCTTCAGCCATGCACTCTGCAATACTCCCCTTGCATTCACCGGATCTCGCCGGCACCATCCAATCGTAGCTACCATTGTCGCCGGCGGCAGCCATTGAAATGAAAAAAGCTCCAACAAGAACACAAACAATCAAATACGAAGGAACTCCCATTTTTTTTCCTTGAATTGAAAAAAAATGAAGAGAAATTAAAGCAACCTTTTGCTAATTCTTCTCGTTTATGGTTCGGACGGCTGATTTTGCTGTATTTTCGATGTTGAAAATTTGTTAATTTCTGCAAATTGTGAAGAAGACAAGTTATAATGGGAAAGGCCAGTTGTATTATAAGTAGAGGTGGTTGTTTATCTACCCCTAATACTTGACTTTATTTCCAAATTGCCACGAAGGATTAGAAGACTTTGATACTTTGGTTTATTGGATGTCCACTAACTTTAATTTCAACGCGGAATATTTAGAAGAAGAATTTTTTAAAAAAAATTAGAGCCAGCGTTATACATACATACATAAATAAATGGTGAGGTAGCTATCAAATATTGAGAAAATTCCAATCACGTATTGAGTTTGACAGTTTCCACTAAAAAAAATATTTGCAAAAAATATAGTACTTGATATATAATGTGATGTTTTTCATATGGACCAAAAAGGATTAGCTTGTTGGATCAATTTCGTATAAATACAAGTTGTTTTAAAAAAATTTAAAAATATTCTTAATAAAAATTGATATTTACCAAACTACCTAATAATACAAATAAAAGCTAACATCACATAATTTTTGGCAATACATTTATGATGGAAGTTTCATAAAGCTCAATGGTGTATCTTACAATTTATTTTCCAGATTCATAAAGCTCCTCGGTGTATCTTACAAGCGTGTTTTAAATAATTTATCTATTTGAATAATTCTAATTATGAAGTAAATTTTTATATAATTTGTTTTTGTAATTGAGCGCCCAAAAAGCAATATTTGAAAGAGTGACTACGAAACTTTATAATGCAAGTTGCTTTTGTAATACTAACAAAAGTGATTTTTCAAATAGCTAATAAAAACACAAAATGTTATTACTTAAAATATTTGTTAAGTAATTTTTTCTTTGACAAAAGTACTTTTCAAATATAAAGTGAGACTATGAGGTAACTATATGTTGAGAAAACTCAAATCAAGGGATGATTTGACATTGTTCAATAATTTAAAAGTTAGTATAAAATACTGTCTAATGCGTGGTTTCTTATGTCACCAAAAAGATTAGAATGAAAATTGGTCTTTGTTAATGTGCTTACCACTACTTAGTATGTAATTCTATTTAGTTGGACATAATCAATCTGCACACTTATTTTATCATCAATTTGCTAACTTTGAAATTGTCTTTGATCAACCACTTGAAAATCTCTTGCTAAAATAATCTTATATAATAAAATTACTTTTCACTATAAAATTACTTCTACAAATTTTAAATTTGGGGATAACAATTTTTTTTAGAAAACGTTCTTACTAGAGAAAATGTGAATGAAGGACACCTCATTTAAACATTAATGAAACAATATTTTTCCTTATTACCTTGAATTATACATAAAAGAAGCATTGTTATGATTTTTAAATATTAAATGTTCAATAATATTCTCTCTTTTGCACAAGCTTTCAGCTTAGTGGAACTAATACACATAAATTTATTTATTTAATTTCAACTAATTTAAACAGAGACATAATTGCTAGATTGATCAATCTTATAATTGAAGCAAAGCATAAATAAAACATCAAGAAAACACAAAAATATGCAATTATTTATTACGAAAAATAACCATGAGTAGGAGCAATGTATATGATCATTCCTTAACAAGAACAAACAAAAATGATTGAAAATGATATAAAGTTGGTCGTAATTAATATTATTATGATAACAATATCTCTAGGAAAAAGAAAGGATAAGAAAAAAAGATTAAAAGGCAGTATATGAACTTTTGATAAGGTTAGGTAGGGGCAAGTATCGTAATAAGTAGGAAATAGAATGTCCAAATTGGGTAGAAAACGAAAAGATATTCGGTTGACTGAGTTGTCAATCGCTCACGTAGTAGGAAGAAAAGAATAGTGGGAGCGCTGTAGCCGCGTAATTCCGTCTCAAAATACTTGTTACGTTTTTTTATCGTCAAAAATTGAAATTAATTTACATGAATTTTGATCGAATTATCAAATTTATATGGGACTAAACCTGACAAGTATATTGCAACAAAATAAAGAGGTAAATATTTTTTTATTCAAAATAAAAAAAAGAGTTGATTATGTAAAAAAAAATTAAATATAAAAGAACAAAGACGGCAGAGTTAGTCCGTCTAATAATTTTGTCAACCGAAACACGTTTTTGCCCTCTTCTTCCTATGGTAGCTGCCTTTTGTGTCCAGCTCATTTCCGTCACCGTTACAGATTCGCCGTTATCAATCATTGTGTTTCTGCTCAGTTTATTTTTATTTTTATAGTATTTAAATAAAATAAATAAAAGGTATGTCAGTAATTAACTAGTTACACTAATTTGACTTACTTTGATGATTGATTAACCACAACAATTAAATATTTTTTCTAGATCTGGTTTTGCCAAAGAATAAAACTTTCCTGCAATGCTACTCTATTTTATGACACTTCTTCCCGGTCATTTCAATTTACTTGTTTTACTTCTTTTTTTATATATATATTATATTTATGATCACATGATTTAATAAAAAAAAATTGATTGAGCATAACACACGCTTAAACATGTGATCTAAGGTTAAAAGTAGACATGCATATTATATCGAAGTAATTATTAGGTTCACGTTTTACTTACTTGATGTGTGTAATAGGTTAACCTTGTAAAATGAGAAAATCTTTACAAGTTAAAGGATATTAGTGTATCTATACTATACTATATAATCTAGAAAATATTACTAGTATAAAAACAAAAATACATTAATCAAGGTTTTAGACAGAAAAGAGACAAGATAACATTTTCAAATAAGGCAACGGTAAAGAAGTCAGTCTCGAAATGATCACTAAGAAAGTTGGGGGAAAAAAGAAGAAGATAAAAGAGTACTACTTACATTTGTTTTATATTACTCGAATTAAAATTTTAATTAGAGGTGTATTTTATTAAAATGATACATATTACTTTATATGTAGTTATTCAATACTAAAAAAAATATGAGAAATAAGTAATAAAACAGAAACAGAGGAAATAGTGTAACACCAACATATTCCCTGAAATTTCACTAGAGGAGTTTGGAGAAGATACAATTTACACGGATCTTACTATATTGTGGAGGTATAAAAATTGTTTTTGAAAGACCCTCGACTCAAGTGTAGTAAATTCAAAGAATAAAATAATAATATAACAATTAATGAGAGAAGCAACGCAAATCCTACCAAATAAAAAAGAACAAAAACACAAAATAATTTGATAATCGAAACACAATAAATAATAAGCGATGAAAAAGGAAGAGTAATGGCGTTAAATTGAGTTTGAAAAGTGTAGTTGAGTATCCGTTATATTAGTGTGTGTGGGTGGGGCCGTATAACAGATCACAGGATCGGTCGGTGTATGCGCGTCCCTAAACAAACGCCAAAGCCAGCTGTATCTTTCCAATTAATTACTCAAAAATGCACCAAACCTAATTATTTTTATCATAAAACTAATTAATACATACTATTTTCAGTGCCTTTTGTTAAAGGGAATTTAGCCACCACATAATATAAATATATATGTATGCGCGCGCTTTAATAAGTTGTTTTGGTAACTTCATTCATTTCCCCCAACTTTGATAATGCTATGTTGGTTGAACCATTTCCTAAAACAATATAATAACATAACAAATGAAATTTAAGTACTTTATGTGTTTCATATGAGTGTAAACAAGTTTGTATTAGTAACACTATCTTTTTTACTTATGAGTTTTTAAGAGACGTGTAAAGAAGAAAGTGAACAACTAATATTAGTTTAAATAATAAAGCTTAGGCTTTAACTAATTGAGTATTTACTAAAGTAGAAGTTATTAGCTGACTTTTAGGCATCCAATAAGTTATTAGTAATATTGTACTGATTTGTAGATGCCTAGAGAATACCAAATTCCCTTTTACCAAACCCTATAATATTGGCTAAATGGATTTTTAATTGAGAGTAGTTGTAATTTTTAATGAAGAGTTGAATGACATCCTGTCATGTAAGCATTGTCCTAGGATCATGCTAATGTGCACTGTATCACACCAAAATTAGCTCAATTCTCATTGACCTATGACATATAAGAGGGAACCATTTAAACACCTAAAAATTCATGGGATGATGTTACTCAAAGAAACAACTATTCTGCAAAAAGTAAACAAATTAAATTACTGCTTTATAGGGATTATCCAAAGTATAAAAAAGATTGCAAGACCGCTGAAATTCTCTTTATTGATGGGAAAGCACTAAAGATCATCAAGAAAATTTCATGATCTGTCACATCTAATAATTTTAACAAGAAAGAAAGAATGTTCACTGAGCTGTATAATAAATAAACGACTAGCTGTGTGGAGCCTGTGCTGAGAACGAGTCCGAGTCCAAGAAAACTAACTGATGCCGGCATTGTAAGAGCTGATGTAACTCATTAGCTGAAGGCCACAAAACTGAGTTGCAGAAGCTCAAAGATGGGAAACCAAATGCCACCTGATACAGAAAGTCTGGTAGGTAAAATGCCGGAGATAAAGAGGAGAAAATGAAGAAGCAATAACCCGTTGGGTTTATAAACAATGCAGACAATCCATCGAGCAAAACTCAAATGCAATTTCAGAGAGACACAATGAACACATATGCTAGAACAAGTTCAATGTGGTGTCAGTAGCATGACGATTAGCAACCATAGATTTCCTCAGCAGGCATATTGCACCCCACACACAAAAAAATATACCAGAACAGTCGAGCCGTAAGCTAAAAACCAAAATACAGTAGGAAAATTTGCACATGTAAGAGCTGCCCCAAACTTAAACGAATGAACTTTATGCATCTTTCTGTTCTTGCAGTGACAGAACTAGATCATTTCTGACATCCAGAGACTAAGAATACCAGAGACCGTATCTATTAGCACTTTTGAAGCCCCTTTTCATTTCGCTCCATGACAGAGCTGATGTGTTTTGAAAAGAAAAAAAGGTTCAATTTTCAGCCAATATAATTGAACTCAGAGAATGGGCAACAAAAGAATAGCCCATTAATGAAGCCACAAAATGAACCAAACAACGTTTATACCGTTTTTTAACGGTATAACTAAAAACCCTCTCACACAAGCATAGCTCAATTACGTTGGCAATTTACTGCAACAGTAAGGACAAAGAAGAAAAACATGCGTCCATATAGAAAATTAAGAAACCAGACTATCTGAGATACAGAAAGAAGGTATCGTAAGTCTGGATCTTGATGCTAGATACTTTCTTTACAACATTAGCCGACTTCAGTGCAATTTTAACTTTGGGCAGCATAGTTCCAATGTGGAACATAAACTGATCATCCAATTTTGATAGATAAACAGGAAAAAAAGGGAGTCCCATATTGCAACTTCCTTAGGAATAAAAAAGCACTCTAAAAGAAATAATTAGTGCATACAATTTTCATTCCATTTCTTCAACCAGCTATCGGGCAAAATACAAACTGCTGTTTGCACTTTGGAGGACATTCTCCATGCTGACCTTCTTCAAATTATGCTATGGCACTCTTCTACGGTTATGTTGAATAAACAAACATAAGTAACATACTAAAAGAAAAACAACAGGCAATTTCCATCGTTCACCTTAGAAAAATTCCACAAAAGACATTCGTCTCATCTTTAGTGATGATGACTAAAAGGACAATTGGAAATATCATATGGACAGACCAAAAAAACTATCAGCACACCCAAATAATAAAGGCAAAAATTCTGAATCACCTACAGCGTAATTGAACAAAATCATAGCTTTGTTGCTCTAACTCTTCAGAAATATAGACAGGTCTGTGTCAAATCCTCCAAAAGTAGTGCATTTTTTGAGTATCTGATACGGGTACGGCAACATAGCATAAAAGCTGTTGAATCTACAACATCTTCATTATTGTCATCATCATCTTTGCCAATTTGTGGTGGATGAAAGGTATTGAATTTTTTTTTGCAGGTACCGGTCCTGATTATAGGTTTAGCATCTTTTGACCCCTTCTTTGAATTCCCTTTTAGGATCTTGTGAGGCATGCCTTTACTTGGATAGTACCATTCAAATGTCGGTCCTACAAGACATCCCACATCAAATGAACAAACAATAACAGGATCATATGATATAAACCCAAGAAGTTAAAACCTACCATAAGGCCTTCTCCAATTTACGCTCATCATCATCAATCATGTGATAGGTTTTAGTAAAGACAGGACTCTTGAGAAAAGGTTATGTATCAAAGAAAGAAGTGAAACTTATAACCCTTTAGATCAACAATCCAGCACCACTTGATATCTTGAGGTAATTCAAAGTGTCTTCATCATGCTGTAAGATCTAAATCAGAGTCATTTGCACTCAGTTAAATGATTGGTGATTCAAACCACAGAATATTTACATGATTTGTTATTTACCTCCTCTGTGAATATCTTAGTCTTCAATGCAGTCCGCCAAAAATTGAAACATCTCTCTGCACCAAAAGTTCACACAAATAACAAAGTTAAAGCCTACCAATCAATATACATGGATGAAAGAAAATATCCTATAAATAACTTTAACCATTTCAGTCTTTTCATGCTTGCCCTCATGGGAATTGGGAGCTATATAAACACCCTAAACTTCGACAACCCCATTCATGCTTGTAAAGATATGACACTTGGGCCTAACTCAAGCCCAAAAACTAGCTCATGAAGGGAGGATTGTCAAAGTCCATATAAGCAAATCACCAGTCCATTCCCCAACCAATGCGGGACTACAACCCACTCTAACATACCCCTTCACGTCTAGGCCGATTGGAATGTGGACCGGGAAACCAAATGGGGAAGAACCTGCATATGATACCATGTTAATATATGGCACTTGGGCATAACTCAACCCCAAAAGTTAGCTCGTGAGTGGAGAATTGCCCAAGTCCATATAAGCAAACCACCAGTCCATTCTCCAACCAATGTGGGACTGTATGCCATTTTTTCTATTTGGAACGGAAAAAGCTAATTTCAACTCCAGTAAGCAGACGTGGAACAAACAACTAAAACACTTTCTCTTCTTACCACTGTATTCAATGGTTCATACATGTTCTGGCATTTAGCTTCAACTGCAGACTTTTCCTCGAAACTTTGCTTCAAGCTCTCATCATGTTGGCTCTATATTTAGAAAAATCATGTCAAGTATTTGTGTCTTCCTTTTACAAGAGGAGCAATTGAAATTTACTCAAGCATGTTAATATACCAGCATAAAGTAAAAATCTTAATCCACATATCATATAATTGACCTGACAAGTTTGGTCCTTGGGGATTGAATCATCATTGTTGTTGTCATTAACACTTTTTTTGCATACCAAACTACCCCATATTCCCCAATTAAATGTCATATTTTTCCTGTAGGTTGTCACAAATTGTGTGGAAAATGAAAAAAAGAAATTCTACACTAACAAATATCTTTTGCCATCTATGATCAAAACCAATACGCTTAGTAACTTGAAAGACTTCTCTTTACAGCATCTACATGATTTAGGATTGATGATCTTGTATAGTTTCTGAATTTGTAGCTCTAAACATAATCATTGTAAATGGATTGCATTAAGGGAAAAGCTTATTTTTTGTAGGCAATGAATATAGAACAGTTTTGACTTCCAATACAATTGAGTAGAAGTAAATGAGGTAGAAACCAAAAAAAATGGGAAAGAATAACTTACGAAAATTCTTGAAAAGCAGATATAAATGTCCTGATTTCTCTCCTTTTTCTTCAGGTCCTTTGCATTATTTGTTTCTTCTCATCTGCTCGGTTCTCTCATCCACATAACTTAACCTGATGTTTCAAGAGAGAAACCAAAAAAATAATAGAAATTCCATCGTTAAGAAACTTCTTATTTTTTCAAGAATCAACTCTGCTTTGTCTTGTGCCATCTGTTCAACCACCATTCTGTATCATTTTCTCCCGATTTTGAAAACCCAGGATTGATATAACAAAGGGTGGTTTCTTTTGGAGTGAAACCTTTATCTTTCATCTCTTCAAGTAACTTTCTTACCTCACTCCGGCATGATAGTCTCAATGACCTTTCAAGCTCTGGCCTTTTTGATAGCTTGCACCATCCAACTAATAGTATGTCATATGTTGAAGAATTTGGTATTACCCCTCTGACTTGCATCTCGTGCATTAGTTCCTGGGCCTGTCTCATTTTTCCTGCCTTTGCAAAGTCAAAGATGAGTACATTATAGGTACTAGTGCGAGGAACAAAACCTTTTGTAATCATCTCACAGTAAAGTTTGATGGATTCCTTTTTATTTCCAATTTTCCCATGGCCAGAGACTAAAATGTCATATGTATTAGCATTAGGGACAAAACCCCTTCCCTTCATTTCATTGAACAAATCAGCTGCTTCATTCATCAGTCCAACGGCTGACAGAGATGCTAACATAGTGTTGTATGTTGCAACATTAGGAGGAACTCCTTTAGCCAGCATCTCAGAATATGTTGCAAAAACCTTTTGGAATTGGTAACTTTTGCAATATCCACGTATGAAGGCATTATAAGTGGTAGTATCAGCTGAAAATCCTCTTTCTCTCATGTTTTCTAGTACTGACATTGCCTTTCTGGTCATCCCAAGCTTGCATAAAACAGCAATAAGAGTGTTGTGAACAGTCTGATCAAGCTTAAGTCCCATGCCTACAAGCCGCTCATGCATTCTCAGGATTATATCTGCTCTTGTATGGCCTGAAGCAGCATCGAGAACAATTTTGTGAATAGCTGGTGAAGGACGAAAACCAATTGTCACCACATCCGCTAACAAATCCATTGCTTTTTCAATATCACCTACTTCACAAAGTCCCTTCACCAATATATTACAAGTGATTGAATTAGGCATTATCCCACTGCTCTTCATTTCTACCCAGACTTTGACAGCACTTTCCAGCTTCCCCTCTTTGCAGTAAGCATCAATTAAAGAATTGAAAGTTTGAATATCTGGAACTAGACCAAGTTTTCTAATTTCAGCATAAACAGACTGTACCTCATACTGACCAATTCCCAATAATCCGTTAAGAAGTACATTGCATGCTATTGTGTCAAAGCATATTTTTTTCTCTTTCATCTCTTCGACCAATTGAAGAGCATCTGACTCCTTCCCTTTTTTGAAGAGTCCATCCATCAATGATGTGTAATTCACATGATCGGGTGACAAACCCTTAGATACCATATCCATAAAAATGGCCTCAGCTTCATCCATTTTACCCAGTTTTTTCAAATTATTCAAAAATGTATCTAACAAGAATTCATTTTCCTCAACACCATTCGACTGCATTTCCTCATACAGAGCAAGAGCCATATCATGTTTACCAGCCTTAAAGCAGCCATCAATCAGGGTATTATATGTGAAAACATTAGGGTTAACATTTATGCTTACCATTTTCCTCATAATTTCAATAGCTGCCTCAACCATTCCACTTTTGGCATAACCATTAATTACAGAAGAGAATGTGACAACATTTGGTAAAACACCTTTCTGTTCCATTTGTTGCAGTAAAATCTCTACACTCTTTAAGTCACCAGATTTGCAGTGCCCATCAACCAATGCAGTATAGGTAATATGATTTGGAGTTATGTTAGACTTCAAGAGTGTCTGAAACACGTCTTTTGCCTCCCTGGATTTTCCAATTTTAAAAAGCCCATTTATCAAAGAGGTAAACAAGACAACATCGAAAGGCACTCCTCTAATCACTATTTGACTTTGGAAGTTAGCAGCAACCTTTTCGGCCTTATTTTTGTACAAGTGATGAATAAAAATAGAGTATGTCACGTGATTAGGATCCACACCCACTCTTCTCATCTCATCAAGAAGTAATTTGGCCTCATGAAACCGTTCATTTTTACAAAGACCATATATAAGGGAATTATAAGTAACAATGTCATAGAAGAAGCCAAGCCTTGTCATTTCTTCATATGTAGCAAATGCTTTCTCAAACTGAAACCACTTAACATATTTACTAATCAATGTGGTGTATGTAATAGTATTTGGTTCTAAACCCAAGTCTCCTACTACCAGCCCCTTATTTTCACCATCATCATAGTCATGTTTTTCTTCATCACTGACATAACTAACATTCACATTTTCATTAGAGTCCAAGAGCTCATCCATGATACAATTTGCAGCATCAAAATCTCCCATTATGCCGAAACCATTAATCAGAGTATTATATGTAACAATGTCAGGTGATAAACCTTCTCTTTTCATCCTCTCCATCATCTCAAATCCACCACTCATCTCAACAGCCTTACAATATCCATGAATCAGAGTGTTAAAACCGACAACGTCTTTACAAACGCCCCTATGTTTATCACTCAACATTTCCATCACCGATTCTGCATTATACAAAAGACCCTTATCACAAAACCCCTTAATTAATATATTACAAGTGATAGTGTCTATGAAAATACCCTTCTTTAACATATCAGACACCAATCCAAAACCCATTTCAACAAACCCAATTCTGCAGAACCCCCATATCAAAGTGTTATAAGTAACAGTGTCACTTTCGTTCTCTCTAAGTAATTCAAGCGCTTTTTCCAGTTTCCCAACTTTGCAAAGCGAATGCACGACTATATTGCGAGTAACCACATTAGAAGCGACTCCACAAGCAAGCATATCAGAATAAAGGACAATTACCTGATCAACCAGACCTGCAGAATTGAAATGATGCAAGAGACGATTCCATGAAGGAAGGTCAGGGACAAGATTGTAATTTCTCATTGAAGAGAACGTTTCCGTGGCTCTGGAAAGGCGATGGCAGCGAAGGAATAGATGGACAAGTGTGCAGAAAAAGGAGGTGTGGAGGCTTTTCTTTGGATGAGTTTGGATTGGTGTACCGGTGGGCGTTGCCGATGAAGAGAATGGGAGGCATATTCTGAGCTGCAATGAGATAGCAACGGAGAGCAGAGGGAGGCTCTTTGTCCTGCCTATCAACTGTTTGATGAAATGCCGATGTGAGTTCATTGTCTCGCAGTTGCCACCATTCCCGCGGGCGTATATGTGGAGCTGTTATTTTCCGGCACAAGTTGTAGTAATAGCTCAATTTTGACACATATTTGACTATATATTAAGAGGATGTTTGGATTAGCTTAATAGTTGATTAAACCTATTTTTAAGTCAGTTTTTGATTTCTGAATTTTTTGATAAATAACTTAAAATAAGGTAGAATTTGTTTAGCAAGATTAAAAATGACTTAAAATAAGTTAAAAATAAAAAGTGGAGAAAATCAAAAGTAGGTTTTCCCTACTTTTTATTTTTTAACTTAAAAATCATTTCAGACTTATTATTTTTGACTTATAAATTACTAATTTTTTTAAGTCAATCCAAACAAGCTCTTAGTGAGCAAGGTTAAAACTAGCTTGTTGTACTTTTATAGGAGATGGTTCTACTTGACCATCCATCAAATATGTTTTTATTATCTTATCAAGGTGCATTATTTCAACTTTCAAAATGTGAATCGAACAACAAAAATACTCCTCAGTTTAAAATAAATTGAGATCGACTATATAAATCTTCACTATTTCCTTTAATTCAACTCATGACATCATCACACCAAACATAATAATATAAAGTAAATCGAATGCAATATACCCTTGATATTACTAGTAAATGAGTTATATTGAAGAACAACATACATTTGTGTTTGTTATTTTTGACATTACAAATAACAAACACATGTAAATAACTTTTCTGAACTTCTTTTATTACACAGAGAGGGGAAGTGAATGGGAAATTAGCGAGAGTATTACAAGACAGACAATCAAACCTTCACCAACAAAATGAAAGTCCAGCTAGTCAACTAGCCGACATTGATCTAATTTCTAAGATTTAATTAGTGTTTTCTTTCGATTTTTTTTGTAGCATTTTTTATCCCGCACTCTAGTTTTAACAAATTTTTAGCAATGTTGCCATTAGCACCACGAGGAAAGAACCCGCCATGAGCATTTTCACTACCAGTGTTGTACATAATCCTTAGAATCTCTTCAGGAGTTCGCCACTGAGAAAGAGAATAGAAATCAGCTGATAATATGTTTGTTGTAGTCCGATTCTCTGCACCAAGCTGCCATGGCACGAACAAGCCTTCGTCTTTAATACCACACATTGCCAAACGGTTTCTTAAATTGGAAATGTGGATTGTGAACTCCGCCACAGTGTGTCTGTAAGGGTATACTACTTTTCCAGCTCTCTCGTAAAGGTACATTCTGATCATTGCGTCTTGTCCTGATTCAACACCTAATAGTCCTGCCAAAAGCTGCAGTAACAAAGACAAGTTGAATTATTACTAAATCTCGAATACTTAATGAAAATTTAAGATTTATTCTTTACCCTTTTTGATTCATAGCCTTGGATGAGGGGATTTGTACCAACATAGCCAACTAATGCAGCATATGGTAGTGCATAGCAAGACAACATGAAATTGAGACTATCTCTATAAGGATCAAATGGGGGTTGTAATTTGTAACCGAATGCTTCATCAAATAGATGTGCAAAGTGTCTAGAACTTAGATCCATCAAAGGTCTTGGCAAACCACCTACTTTCGATCTAAGTGCCCTGCAATTATCCCAAAACAGAACAAATTAGTTATCGTTTGAGTGACCTGACGTAAGTCTTTTTTAATATTGTCAGTGTATATAAGTTAAACTGGGATAAGAACGGACCTTAGATGACCAACTTCTTGCATGGCAAACTCATTGATGATGTTACTTGTAAAAAAATCAAGATTTGCTTTGCGGACACCAATGGGAGGAGGCCCTCCCATGGCTAATTCTGGTGCTACAATATCAAGACCATAACCATGTACAGCCCACAAGAAGTATTCAGCTTCCAAAAACTCTAAATTCTCAGAGAATTGCAACAAGTCAATATCTTCTTTGGTTACTGGGAGTCCGACCTTCGGAGTCCCAGTTGGACAAAGAAGATTTTGAGAAAGTGAAATGCAGAACATCTTGCTTGACAACAAAATCATAAATATTGTTATTAAAAGATGGGAAGGTGAAGTAATTGATATTATAGACATCTTTAGTGTTTCTTTTTTTTTTTGTTGGTTAATTAAGTTGTAATGAAGAATAAAAGAGAGTTTATAGGGATATATACTATGTATTACGACATACTTTATACCTAATTTTAAGCAATGTGATTTGGATTTCTATCAATAAACACCTTATTAGTGACTAACCAAAACAATGTGAAGTTTATATGCCTTAGCTAAACTCTACCTGCCTTCAACCTACAACAAAATAGAAGAAAGATAAATTAAGCCTGGAAACTCAACAACTTAACGAGTGTGTTCAAGTTAAAAACATCACTTATTTAGGAATAGAGTGAGTATCTTCTTGATCATTACACTTGTTTTAATTAAGAATTCTATTTTATTTGTACACAAACTTTTTATGATTAACATGATTAAAAGAAAATCAAATAGTTGATGAACTTAAAAAATCTCCTAAGTTAAATGAATCTTTTGCTTGACAACCCTATAAAATCCCCACTACATCAACCTTCACATTTCATCTTTAGAGAGTTAATACTACAATATATTAACCATGGCCAAGAAAAATTGCCTTGTTACATTTGTCATTTGCATTTTCCTACTTGTCAACTTAGCTTTTGCAAGTGAAATTTCTGATTCATCCTCAAATGATGAAACTAGTACTACTACTCCACAAGCTAAGGGACTAGATAGTTACTTTCCATGGATTCAATATACACATCCCTGGATATTTCCTCGTCCATGGCCATTCGTTTATGGTGGTTACCATCCTCATCAATGGCCATTTGTTCTTCCTCAAATGCCTACTGGTTTCTTTCATCCTAGGTTTCCTTATTTGTGGGCTTATCGTTTTCCATGGTCATTCGGGTATCCACCAGCTCCGTCTCCACCTAAAGGAGACGAAGAAGCAGGGAAGAATTAAGAATATTCACTAATGAAAACAAGTGAATTGGATCAATATGTTATTGATCACATATTTGTTTCTAAGTTAATTTATGTCTTTTAAGATATTATTGATCACATTATTAAATTTTTACTGATTTTCAATGTTGTTTGATTCAGCTTGTTATGAAATAAAATCTGAATTTTCATTTTTGTATGAATTGTTCTCCATAACCTGTTTTATGAAGACTTAATTAATGTTTACCAGAACAACGTAAACTTTGTATGCCCCAACTAGACTCCACCTCTTTCCCACCTATAATCATAAAAAGAAGATTTACAAAAAAAGAAGAGTAAAAAATACAGTAATAATTAAAAAAAAATAGAAGAAAGAAAATAGGCCGTATATCCATAGGATTTAGGCCCCGAGCCTAGGAGTTTATGTCTCGCCTTGTGCTGCCTTCTTTTTTTAGTTGTCATGATAACATTTTGCAATACTTCAACAGCAAAGTTGGAAAAATAATTAATTCTCTCTTGATTTTTAAAATTGACAAGTATATAGAAATAACTATATTTAGAATACATGACAACTAAAAAGAAGCCAAGGGAGTGTATGTTATTTCACATATCACGAAGGGTAAAGGTTTAAAAAAGAAATAGTTTTTTTTTTTTGTAAACAAGATGCATGTTTAGAAAACACTATTTCTTAGTTTTTTCATTTTTGAAATTCAAAAAGTGCGACGTCGACGAGCTGTGAAGGGTAAACAATTAGTATTTGGTTTCTGTTAAAATTTAAAATATAAATTAAAGAGATTACTTTCAGGCAAACTCTATTGATCCAATAATCACTACTATTATATATCTTATTGATTATTACACTTATTATAAGAATTCTATTTGTACACAAACTTCACTTATGATTAAGCTAAATAAAAGAAAATCAAATACTAGTTGATAAACTTAAAAACTCTCCTAAACCAAATGAATCTCTTGCTTGACAAGATGGAATAATTCCCCCACTACACCAACCTCTTCACATTTCATCTAAAAAAAGTTGATAAACTTACTTTTAGATGATGGCCAAGAAAAATTACATTGCTACTTTTGTGATTTACATAGTCTTAGTTATCAACTTATCTTTTGCAAGTGCTACTAGTAGACAACCTAAAGGACTAAATAGCCTCTACCCAGTATGGATTCATCCTCATCCATGGCTACCTCCTCTCCCATGGCCATTTGTTCATCCTCCTGCTAATTTCCATCCTCATCCATGGCCATTCCTTCATCGATTCACCCTTGCCCGCGTTTCGTTATTCATGCATCCGCCAACACAACAAGGAGGAATTAAGAATATTCACTAATAAAAACAAGTGTGGGATCAATATCTTATTGATCACATATTTGTTTCTATCGTAGTTCTTAGTTTCTATCAATTTCCAATTAATAACTAGTTTCGTTTTGGCAGGAATGTTGTTTGATTCGACTAATTATGAAATAAAATTTGAATTTTTATTTCTATATGAATTGTTATCCACTTCTTTTCTTTTTAAGCTAAAGCTAAATTTCATTAGATCTAATTCTACATAAAATTAAAATTTAATATTTAAAATCGTAATTATTCTTATGTCAATATAATTAAAAAGATATTTTACAATGCAATCAAAGTTCGACTATTTTCTTTTATAATCTAGAAAATGAAATTTTGGCTATTTCATGAGTAAGCCTAGCAAAGCGAAAAGTTTTTAATATTGAAACATTTTAGAATTTTAAATTTAAACTATTCAAATTTTTATACTAATAAATATTTTTTTTTACATTAACATCTAAGTAATCTATTAAAAATAGGCTAACATCTTCTTAAACTAAATTGCTATAAATAATCCTCAATATGGTTATAAATAATAATATTATATTAATACTATATTAAAAACAACAATTATGAAAGAATTTTTTTTTATTTTAAGCCATTAATTTTATTGAAATATGTACATGTTCGGAAGTAATTGGACACAACTACAATTACCTTTTGAAACAATAACTAATAAATAATTAATGTGAAACTAATAAATAAGAACATTAATGTGAATGCGGAGACGAGTTCAAATTTCTTTTCTTATTTTTATAGAGAGATGCATGGATGA